ACGTCCTACTGCAACCCCCACAACTTAGTATCTGTCCCCCTGCTCCCTAAAATCTCCCCTTCATTTTCATGTGCACTCCTGAACGCCCGATCGGTGTGCAACAAGCTTACCGCCATCCACGACCTCTTTGTTTCCCGCTCCCTCAACCTCTTAGCGATCACGGAAACCTGGATCCAGGCCACTGACTCTACCTCCCCTGCTGCACTCTCCTACGGAGGTCTCACCTGGACCCACTCACCCAGGCCTAACGGTCGCAAAGGTGGTGGGGTTGGTCTGCTCCTGTCACCGCAGAGCACCTTCCGAGTCCTCCCAAACCCCCCCTCCCTATCCTTCTCCTCCTTCGAGGCCCACTGCATCCGACTATTCTCCCAACCCCCCCTGAAGATTGCTGTGATATACCGGCCTCCTGGGATCCATACCCCGCTTCCTGGATGACTTCTCCTCCTGCTACCCTTCTTCCTCTCCTCTGAGCTACCCACCATCATCCTTGGGGATTTCAACATCCCTGTCAACCTCGACAACCCAGACACAGCCCGTCTCCTCTACCTAACCTCCTCCTTTGCACTTGCACAGTGCATACAATCCACCACCCACTCCGACGGAAATATCCTGGACCTTGTCTTCTCCAACCGCTGCGCTCCCCACAACCTCACTAACACCCCCTTCCCTCTCTCTGACCACAACCTGATCACCTTCTCTATCTCCTCGTCCTCCAACGCCTACCCCTCCAAATGTCACACTACTACCAGCCGTAACCTCCGCAACCTTAACCCTGCCTCCCTCCACTCTGCAGCTGATCAACTCCATGACAGCATCCTCCCCCTGTCCTGCCCCGACTTGGCTATGACTGCCTACAACAATGCGCTCTCAACAGCCCTTGACTCACTAGCCTTTAACCACATGCAACATCAGACCCCGACCGCTCCAGCCCTGGCAGACTGATCACACCAAAACCCTCAAACGACAAAGTCGTGCCCTGGAGCGACTATGGCGCAAAACCAAATCCCAACAAGCCTTCACCCGCTACAAATCTGCCTTCCACACCTACACCTCCTCCCTCCATACTGCCAAACAAGCCTACTTCTTGACCCTCATCAAGGCCCTCTCCTCCAATCCTCGCCGACTTCTCTACCTTCAACTCTCTACTCTCGCCCCCCCCACTTCCACCCAGCACCTCACTCACTGCACTTGAGATTGCCAATCACTTCAAAAACAAGATTGACACAATTCGCAAGGACATTGCCACAACTCACACACCCTCTCAAACCGTCCCCTCTCACACAACTACCCCCCTTATCCCCCCTCCCCCTCGACATAACCCGCAGGGACTTCGTCGCTGCTCTCAAACTCTCTCCAACCCCCTTCACCCTCACTCAGCTACCCCCTCATCACCCCTCTCCACGGCCCCACCACTGCTCTGACCTCCTCTTCCACCCCACCCTACATTCCTCATACATACTGAAGCTCCCCCCACACTCCGCACCTTTGACCTTACTACCATCGAGGAAGTCTCCAAGATCCTCTCTGATGCCCCGCCTCACCACCTGCCCCCTCGACCCTATCCCCTCACAACTCCTACGACCTTCCTCCTCCTCCATCCTACGCTCCCTCACCCACATCTTCAATCTCTCTCTCTCTCTCAGGCACTTTCCCCTCCCCTCTGAAACATGCACACATCACCCCCATACTTAAAAAGCCCTCCCTGGACCCCAATGACCTGAACAACCTCAGACCCATCTCCCTGCTCCCATTTTACATCTAAACTCCTCGAGCGCCTAGTCTACACCGCCTATGCTCTCACCTCAACGACAACAACCTCCTCGATCCCCTACAGTCCGGCTTCCGTCCCCTACACTCCACCGAAACTGCCTTACTCAAACTCTCCAACGACCTGCTAACCGCCAAAGCTAATGGCCACTATTCAGTGCTCCTACTCCTTGACCTCTCTGCGGCCTTCGACACAGTCGACACACCCCCTCCTCTCAAAAAACTACACTCCCTCGGCCTCAGAGATTCTGCTCTCTCCTGGCTCTCATCCTACCTGTCACAACGCTCCTTCAGCGTTACCTATAATGCTACCACCTCCCCCTCACTCCCCCTCTCTGTTGGGGTCCCCTCAAGGCTCTGTCCTTCTCTTCTCCATCTTTACCTCCTCCCTTGGCCAAGTCATACACTCTCACGGCTTCAACTACCACCTCTATGCCGACGACACACAAATCTATCTCTCAACCCCCCACCTCACCCCCTTGGTCTCAGCCCGAATCACACACCTACTGAGCGACATATCAGACTGGATGTCGCTCAACTTCCTTAAATTGAACCTCTCCAAAACCGAGTTTCTCGTCTTCCCCCCAGCCCGGACACCACCCCCCATTGATTTCTCCGTCACATCCAACAACGCTACCATCAAACCCGCCCTGCAGGCCAGAGTACTGGGTGTCATTCTGGACTCCAACCTATCCTTCCAGCCCCAAGTCCAATCTTTAACAAGCTCGTGCAGACTCCACCTCCGCAACATCGCCAAAATCCGCACGTTCCTAACCCCAGAAACCACTAAACAGCTCATCCACTCTCTCATCATATCACGACTCGACTACTGCAACTCCCTCCTCACTGGCCTGCCTCGCCGCTGGCTATCCCCGCTTCAGTCGATCCTGAATACGGCTGCCAGACTCATTCACCTTTCCAACCGCTCTGTCTCCGCCACCCCCCTCTGCCAATCCCTCCACTGGCTTCCGATTGCGCAACGGATCAAATTCAAAATCCTAACGCTGACGTACAAACCTGTCCACCATACTGCCCCGAACTACATCACTGACCTAATATCCAAGTACCGCCCAGCACGCACACTCCGCTCCTCACAAGACCTCCTTCTCTCTAGTTCCCTGGTCTCCTCCTCCCATGCCCGCCTCCAGGACTTCTCCAGGGTGTCACCCATCCTCTGGAACTCCCTGCCCCAACCCATCAGATTATCACCTACTCTCCTCTCCTTTAGGCGCACCCTGAAAACCCATCTCTTCAGGGAAGCCTACCCCACCCCCTGCTAACTTGCCGACCTCCTCCACTCTTCCTACCACTCCATCCCCCACAGCTATCTCCTCCTGTGCCACCATCCCCTCCCTCCTAGATTGTAAGCTCGAAAGAGCAGGGCCCTCGAACCCCTCGTGTATCACATTGTATTGGTATTGTTTTGCCACATGTTCTGTCCCCCTTTGTAATGTACAGCGCTGAGCAAACTATTGGCGCTTTATAAATACTGTATAATAATAATAATAATATAACTCATATTTGCACACAGGAGTTTGTTCACCCTTGTACCGAGCTGTGCCATTGTAGTCATGTATCTATTAATCACGGAGCAGGGGCATCTTTATTGCACAAGAGACACAGTACTTCTGAAATGCAATGCAAATCCTTTCTGCTGTTTTTCAGTTGAGGAGAAAGTTCCGCTTTAGGCTTCATGCACACAGGCAGAAAAAACTCTGCTTCTAGAAGCATTTTTATTTTTTTCTTTATGCCCGTGAATGCAGCTCTATATTAGCCAATGTGTCGTTGCACATTGTGGTGTTTAGGTTCATATTTTAGAGCAGTGATATAATATAAAAAAAAAAAAAAAAAAAGCAAAAGCCCCAAACCTGCCTTCAGAGAAAAATGTACTGGCAAAACTTATACTGTACATACAAGTGCTAATGTGCATAGACTTGCGCATAAGCTCATAAATAAACCGCCTACCACCCGCCATATAAGGAAATGACAGACGGGTGACAGTTTTCTCATTCTGAGAGGACGTCATATGACATCCTCCCACTCTAACCGCGCGTGCGCACCCCCTGGGACATAGCAGATCACCGATCAGCGGAAAGAGCAGATGACTTAGGCTCTTTCATGTGATCAGCTGTGTCCAATCACAGCTGATCGCATGTAAATAAGGAAATGCCGGTTATCGGCATTTCTCAGACGGCACATGTAAACTGATCAGTGTAGCCCCTTCAGTGCCACCTGTCAGTGTCCATCAATGTCACCAGTCAGTGCCCATCAATGCCACATATCAGTGCCTAGCAGTACACATCAATGCCACATATCAGTGCCCATCTGAGCTACCTTTCAGTGCCACATATGAGTGCTGCCAGTCAGTGCCACCTATCAGTGCCAGTCAGTGCCGCCCAGGGGTGGACTACAGCTCATGGGGCCCCTGGGCAATAGGGGATCATGGGGCCCCTGTGTCCTTTCCCAAACTCAAAAAAGCCTATGAAAAAGGTACCAGGGGCATCTCATGGGGCCCCCTACTGACCCCGGCCCTCGGGCAGTGCCCGAGTTTCCAAATGGTCAGTCCGCCCCTGGTGCCGCCTATCATTGCCATATATGAGTACTGCCCTTCCAGAGGGCAAGTGGGTAAACCTTATAACAGTACCCTGATTTCGCAAGGAGAGTCCTTGAGGGCAGAAGAGACTGATTATCAGGGTATACCTGCTGTGCCCATTATGAAGGGCTCCCACTATCCTTGATGGATTTTATCTCAATTTTAAATGTTTAACTTTTTTTTTTTAGGTGTTATAAACTGGATCCAATGATCAATAAGTGAAATATGTCATAAGCAACTCATCCCTTTTTATCAATTTCTACTCTCTTGAATGCTCACATGCCCAAAATTGGCCAGAGGAATGTCCCACGTTGTGGTTAGTATTTGGATCGGCACAAAATAAATCTGCTTATGTTTAGTGTTTGAGTGCTTGCGTTTTTGATTCATTTGAAGGATAGGCAATGCAATGGTTTTGAAGGATAGGCAATGCGATTTTGAGCTGACCATATGGAGAATTTCTTTTGTATGTTCTGTCACTCCTATTCATCAGTACAAGTTTGTGTGATTGCATCAAAAAAGCAAACCATTTTCCCTGCAAATATGCTGCACTTCGTTATGGCTCTATACTCCTACCCCAACTGTATTTAAAGCAGCATTTTAGAAAGTGATTTAAGCCCCATGGCACCCTTCTCATACTTACCGCACTTCTCAGAGGAGTCTTCTTAGTGTCTTGTACTACATCTTGTGATACAAATTTTACCGGCTCCTTAATCTGCCTTCTAGATCGCTTTGTCCCATTTGGTAAAGTTTCCATAGCGAAATCTGCTTCTATGTCACTGCTGCCGGCCTGGTCACACTCAGAGCATTGCCTAACAAAAGAACAATATTCATGTTATCATAAACATAGAAACATACCTAAAATAAACATCAATCCACATAATGTAAGCTGGCTATTTAACCTGGGTTCACACTGATGCGGTCCGGAATTTGCAGCGCCTTCTGTGTGAATTCCGCACTGCATCAGAATCGCACCCCGTTCATGTGAACTGCAGCGGGTGTGTATGTTAAGTTAACACCATCCCGAAATCGGTCTGCAAAACATGGTGCGATGAGAAGAATCCCATTGCATAGATGTGAATACCCATGCGATCCAATTCTAATGCGGACCAAATAAAGGGTCCTGCACCTTTTTGGTGAGGTGCGATTAGAGCCATACAAAATGTATGGCTTCAATCGCACCGCACACTAAACGCATGTGATTTGCACAGGAATGCGGTGTAGTTCCTGTGCGAATCACATGTGATATACCACACCGCATTGGATATATGTGAACCCGGGCTTAAAGTCCAATTAAACATTCATTCTGTATCAGCTAAATACCTTCCAGGCACATCAAAAAAAGAACATACATAATAGGATAGCTGGCAACTTGGTGTCTTCCAAAATAGGGAACCTTGTATTAGCTACATCATCAGTACAGGTTAAAATACTCTAATGGGTTTTGACCGTCAAGCCTTAGTCATGCTATAACTAAGGCCTGACAACCGAAACGCGTTAGCATAGTTTATCCTGTACTGACGATGTAGCGAATGTATGTTGTAGCAGTGAAGGTGTGGAGACACTGAAGCCTGGACACCAGTTTTCCTTTCTCCCTTACGGTTCATGGAGGAGCGATGTGGACTGGACTTGCTTTGTGGACATCAAAAAAGAAAGTTTGAAAGTCTTTCATTTTATTTTTAGAAAGGAACAGCTGAGCCACAGCCCGAGTAGAAAAGCTTAACCCCTGCCAGCATGCTGCAAGGACCCTTGTGCTCTGTTTGGAAGCAGAGGTCCAACAAGCAACCTGCTGAGTCAAAGCTATAACACTGGAATCAGCAAAGCTCATTCTTCCTGCTGACTGGAGAGCTTTAGCTTCGATTAAGAGATGAGCTCGTCAGTCTGCAGTTTCCACTTTCATTGTCCGGTCACAGGTTGGGGGAGGGACAAGACCTGTAAAGCTGTCCCACTCAATTTTCTTCACTTAGGTAGCGGATGAATGAAAAAAACTGAACCAATGCCCCCATCCACACACATTCAAGGTGGACGGGGGAATCCTTCGCACTGCACTACTTTTTTTCTGGGAGAAGGAGGGGGACTGATTGTACTGTCAGAACACACAGATCAGCACTGCAGCCACTGATCAATCGGCTTCTTTCCAGCAGGTCCATTCCATAGACTGAATTCTGGTGTGCGGCAGTGGCCACACATGTATCAAAATGTGGACAGGCCCTGATTAATTGGCCAAATTTTGGTCCATCGATGACCACCTTAAGACTTCATTTAGACTTGCGGTTGGGGGCACCAAAAACAACGGGGCTGTTTACATGACACGGCAATGCTTCATTTGTGCCGACGGCAAAGTTTGCCTGACATGTAGCGATCGATGGGCAGCAAGCACGTCAAATTGCAAATACACTGCGGATGCAGCAAAACATAGGGTTAAAACAGGCAGTGAAGAGGTGTCACTTCACTTCCTCACCGCCTCTCAGTAGCCTCTGAAAGGTGATCTGAACGGACTTCAGAGTCAAGGGAGATTAGACACATGTCTAAATCTACCCTAAAGGCTAGGTTCACATCTGTGCGGCTGGTGCCACTGCAGATCCGCACGAAAATCCGTGCAACCGCACCACCTGCACAGAGAAAAGTGGACCCGCGGGTAAAATTAATTCTAATGGCACGCCGCCCGCATTGGAAAACGCAACTGTACTGGGAACCGAGGTTCCCATGCGAGCTGGTTTTTTGGAAGAAGTGCAGGGACTTCTTCCCTGCGTGTCACGAGCACAGGAGTCCATTCAAATGAATGGGTTCTCATGCCCGTGCAAAACGCGGCCGGCACGGCCGCATATATGTGAACCGGGGCTAAGGGCTCATTTACACTTGCTTCGACTTCAACATACAATAAAGTGCCCACTGCTTCAAAATGCTTTCTTGATGCGTTTTTGATGCTCCCCTTCTGAGAACACCTGGGATGTATGACATCATTTGTCTAGGCCTGGAAACCAAGAGCTAACTAAAGAAATGTAAAAAAAAAAAAAAAAAAAAAAAAGTTTATACAAATGTAATATACCTTCCTATCTATTTACTAATCCTAGCTTCATAAGGATTAAAAATACTACATGTTGATTGAGAGAGTGAAATCCCGCTTTAACTTCGGCAGAGAAAAATCAGGTCTCATGCTCTACCAGACAGGACCATGCAGTGTAAATCTCAGAACCAGATGGACAGAAATAGAAATCCTTCGGCAGATAAAACAGATACCATATATGTATTTTATCAATGCATCCAGCAGTTTGCCTAGATTTCAGCTTTAAAGAGCTTTATATTGTGCAGACCCTGAGAAATGCAAGGTTTAACCTCCCTAGCGGTATTCCTGAGTGTTGCTCGGGGTAAAATTTCAGTACCAAAAGCGGTAACCCCGAGCTACACTCGGGCTTACCATGCGGCGCTGCATAGGGAGTCCCTGCAGCACTTACCTTGTCCTTCGCTCCCACGATGTGTCCCCTGCAGCGTCCCCGGTCATCTCCTCTGGCCGATGCCGGCATCCGGCTTCTGTGTTCCTGTCCCTGTGACGTCGGGACGTACGAGCGCCGCCGGCGGCGGGAAATTTGAAAATTTTAAAAATTTCATTTTTTTCCAAATTTTAAAAGTGACATTCACTAAATACACTAAAATCACATAGTATTCCATTACTGTATCAAACCATTTCACATACATTTTGTCCCGAGTGCTTTGTCCTGCGCCCTGCCTGCATTTTGTCTGTTCTTTCTGCCTGGAAACTGAGAAACGTCCATGGCGTCCAAAAAGCGTCCCTTTAGGTCAAAATCGGTTTTAGACCGGCTAGAGAACAGCGATAGTAAATCAGAACCACTTGCAGAATTGAGTGATAATGATTCGTGGGGAAATTCCTCATCAGACACTGAAAACGATTTTGCGACTTTGCTCAGCAATGTGCGAACTTGGCGCTCTATTTCAAATTTCAGTGTTTTTGGTTTGATTATATTATTGAATTAAATTTATTATTATTATTATTTTTTATGATTATTTATTAAATTATAATTTATGATTTCGTGTTTCAAATTTTATCATACCCGGGATTTTTACTAGACTCTTGTTCGGACAGATTTCAGTGAGTTATTCCTAAATATTACAGCCTACAATAAAAAAAACTACATATTTCCATGCAAAAAAATGGTACCGCTTTCAGCACCAAAAATCTGAAATAATCATACCGCCAGGGAGGTTAAGAGGTTCTAGACCCTACAAATATACAGTACCCCACTGCGACCAGCTATGGCCTTTGTAGACCAAGTTTCTGTTGACCGGTTGTCATCTTTTCTGGCACCATTTCACTTCACTTCTGTAAAGGCCACAGGGGGAAATATGATAAGGCATTAAAGATTTCCGTAGTACCCTTTGAACCACTTTTGTGATATATTTAGTGGATGAGAGCTCTTAAGGAGCTCAGAAGAGTTCTACAAATCTCTACAAAAATGTAAAAGCAAAAGGCATGGATGACATTTTAAAACGAAAATTGTTTTGTCGAAACGCAGACAGCAGATTGTAGGTACTCAGAAGAGATTGCTTTTGCACTGTAATAAAATACTTCCAAAATCACAAGCCTAAAGATGAATGTCACCAAAGCCCGAGAACGCAGCGACTGCACGGTGTACATTCATAGCGGTTTAATAAATCCACTTTTGGGTTTGTTTTAAGTGACAAATATAACATGAACGGTTTTCATAATTTGTCACTTGTTTTCTCCTATCTCTGAAGATTTACATAAGTGTGGCTTTCTGCTTCTACAAATCCTCACTGTCAGCCAAGACATTGTGTTCCAAAAGCCCAACTCTAAGAAATACGAGAAAATTACCTTTTCAGTGTCCCACCCCATGGCAAAGGTAAAATGCTTGTAATGTCTAGAGCAGTGGTCTCCAAACTGCAGCCCAGGGGCCAGATGTGGCCCCTTGCTTGCCTTTATCTGTCCCTTGGGACACTATTCCATCAACTGACACCATTGATGGGGCACAATTTAGTACCAACAATGGGGCACTATTCCTCCCAATAAAACCAATGATGTGGTGTTGTTTATGCCTACTGTGGCCGATGCATTTTCTAATCCCACTGGCCAAAATCTGACCCCCCACTAAAGCCTGAAAGAAACTGGCCCTTTGCTTAGAAAGTGTGGAGACCCCTGGTCTAAGAAGTAGAAGAATACGGTGATATACCAACCGTATCCCTTGCTGCAGCAGGTGTCAGTGCGGTACTCTACCTGATGCTCCAGGAAGTCCCCCACTGCCCTCACATACAATGCAGGATGGGACTTATGTAAAGGACGTAGGTGTTTGGCCCAACAGGCTAACTCACTCTGAGTCTTCAAGGAAAAGGGAAGCTTTGAGGTATTGCCATCAGATTTGAACCCGGAAAGCCCTCTGCAGCTAACTTTTAACAGAATGGAGTCTGGAAAGTGCCCATGGGGAACCCAGTGCCCAAAGGCCACTCTATGGTCACCTGCTATCCTCACAACATCCAATCTAGGAGGGATCCAGACATAGTATTTTAAATGCTAGCTGAAGATGATTTTGCTGGATAGCGGCAATCAAAGAGAAAAGGTTCTAGCAGCAATGAAGAGAAAAGTCTATGATGAGTAGCTGCAAGAGAAGAGACCTCCTGCAGCTACAAGGAGACACATCTTTACTGATGAGAATATTTAAAGTGATATTAAAGGCAATAAAAAAAAAATATGTTACACTTCACTGCTCTGTGCAGTGGTTTTGCATAGATCAGCCCTGATCCTCCTCTTCTCGAGTCCCCCACAGGGGCTCCTGGCCCC